CTCAAGCTGCTCTGCTACGGACCCTCAATCTGTAAATATCTTCATGCTTCCAATATCAAGTGTTTAAAAATTAAAACTAGAGATAAAAAAGATATGTGATTATGTGTGAGAGGCGCTGCTATCGCAGTTGGCACTGTCAGAATGTATATAAAACTTACTTGTACATGAAAAATTACATAAGAAAAAAATTACATGTTAACTACAGTACAAAGAGGATCTTCTGAAATTATTTGACGTTGACAGGGAGGCGCAAGTGAGCTGTTATAATTCAGTTTGACTTATGCCCACCGGTTCAGACAGCCTTGTGGACCTATTTCATCATCAACTCACTATACGTCCCCACCGAGGGGCTCAGAGCCTACCCTAAGTTAAGGGTGATTAGGGGATCTATTTATAGTTGAGAAATCTACATAAAAGTACTGTTGATGTAACCATTTGATGACCCTGAGTACGAATTTGTTTGACAGATGATACGAACCAGGAGATGTACTCGTGGCTGCAGTCGATGTGGGTGGGCGGAGAGGGCGGGGCGTGGGGCGCGGCTGGGGCGGGCGCGGACGAGACCCTGCTACCTGATTGGCTGAGGCTGCACCTAGTACGTTCAGCACGCCCGCCGCTGCTGGAGGCGGGACTTCGCGCGCTGCCTGCGCACAAGCTTGCACTCTTCATACAGACCTTCGGCATGCCTGTCGCTTCCATGAGGTTGGTAGTATTTATGTTATATATATGTTATATATAAATCTCGTTTATGTTTATTTTTGCGTTATTATAGGTTTTTGAAATACTAACCGTCGGTTTCTGAGACGAAAATTCTCGTTTAAATCATGTTATGTCTATTTTGTCAAAGATAATGACAGGGTACAGATATTTTTGGTTAAGAAACCCACGGTAAGTGTAAAACGTAAAATTAAATTTAAACTTCCTAGAATTAATGCCGAATTTCTACAAATAAAAGATTCCATCCTTAGACAGTTTGAACACGTTTCTGTAATGTAGCGCGTTGCTGGGTGCACTGGACGCATGCCCGGCGGGCGCGGTGGTGCGGCTGGGTGTGGAGCGCGGCTACATGGCGCAGCTGCTGACAGTGCAGCGCGCACGCGGGGCTACTGGTGGCGCTGCATTCGCTGCTGCCCTCGGTCTACAGCAGCCGCATCTGCCCCCAGGTACAAATTCATACGACCCAAATCAAGTGGTGCATTTCAAACTATGTTTTATTAACCTGCGATATCTTTAATTAATGCAAATTTTTAATTTAAAACAAAAATAATATTTAAGACAAATGGCAGCAGCAATCGTTTCATTTCCCTCCCCACCCTTCTCTTAAAAAAAGAATGGAAAGGGGAATGTGTATTTATCCGGAGGAGGGATGCATAGAAAGGGAAAATATTCAATTCCTGTGCAACTCAGGCTCTGTCGATATCAATGGGCAGCGGGTGCTTCGCTATTTTGGCGAATCAGGTAGGCCTTTGTCAGTTTGCCACCTTTGAAATAAATAAAAAAAATTATAAAAAAATCATCTATTGTTAATTCGCCTTATTACTAGAGAATTTTTTATCAGCTTTGCAACTGTAACCGTAGGTATTATTTGCAGACGACACGCAGTTCGCGGAGGAGGTGCTGCCCGAGGAGACAGAGTCAGTGTGGGACATGGCGGGCGGGGTTGGGGGCGGAGTCTCCGCCAAGCCGCGGCTGGAGCCCGAGCACGTGGCGGGCCTGCTGGCCGCCGTCTTCGATGCCCAGGATTGTCACTTCGACGTGGACACCGCATGCACGCAACTTAATGCCGTAAGATAGTTCCACATTATAATAAAAATAAAATAGTTAATAATAAAAAAGTTAATCTTACTTATTACTAATATTATAAAAGTGAATGGATGGATGGATGGATGTTTATTAGAATGTATCTACAGAACAGCTGTATGGATCTCGCCAAAATTTGGCGTAGATGTTAGAACACCTAGCCTACTAATTGTCTTTCCAATCCGCGCGGACGGAGTCGCGGGCGACAGCTAGTATGTTAATAACTAACTATTTAGACGATTTTCAGTGCCTAATATTTAGCTAGATATGTTTGTTAGTTTATAGCAGAGGAAGGAGGTCGTGGTGAGGAGGGACCTTATACGCGTGCCGCGTGCGGGTTCCTTAGGGGCGTGGCTGTGCACGTACTGCCGCGCCGCCCCGCACACTCCGCAGCACTGTTACGTACACTACACGCCGCTAAACCACGTGCATTGCCTGAGGTAACTAATTTGTGAAAATAATTTTAATATATAACAAGCTTATATGGTACTGTCATTCGTCTGATAATTGTATATAGGCAAACCTGCAACCTATCAGCGATTATCATTGTCCAGCCCCAACGGATCCTCTCCATAAGCGAGAAACTTGGCGTAGAGAGACACCACTAAAATCGATAGTCATTGTCCAATTCTTACGCACGACTTTCATAAGCGACAAACTTGGGATAATAAGAAACCCCTATAAGCTAGAAAAATTTCTTGGTTCCTTTAAACTTTGCTTATTCAGATTTCACTGTATTTAAAATTTATTAAACTGAAATTATAAAAAAAGGAAAGGTGAAACAACGCAAGAATCTTGTGATAATGGATAAGTGTACGCAAAAAGCAAATGGTCAGCCTCAATATCCTTTTCTTTGTTTTTTTTTAATTGTTTAATAGTTTTTATATTGTTTTTGCATGTTTAGATAGCGCGATCGTTGCTGTCAGCGGGCAAGTGTGTGTCTGGTGTGGTGGGCGAGCTGTTGCAGGCAGCTGCAGGGGCGGCGCCCGACCACCGCGTCCCTCATCTCCCGCACAACGCAACTAAGGAACATCTAGTCGCAGGTACTAATATTAATCCATTTATGAATATTTGCAGTGAAAAAAAAATAATTTTTTTTCACTGAGTAGTCATTGTTTGGCTTGAAGAGATATTTCCAGCTCTTCAGGACTTTAGGTGGCCAGGCTCAGATGGCGCCTAGACCTCGTTTAGGAGTAACTAGGCACGAGGACTCCCCGACTTTTATTTCGTTATTATTACCAGACTGGACATCAAATATGGTCTGGGATCCATTTTAAATAATAGCGATACCTAAAGTTTGAAAAACATGAAATACTAGCCAAAGTAATTATTTGCATAATTGTTCTTTTTATATAATTAATTTTACCGTCTGCACTTGTAGCACTTGAAGCGACCACACCAAGGACTCTGGAGGCAGTTGGCAACCACATCATAGAGACCCAGGACACGCAGATGGTGGTGGAAGTCATCTCCATACTGCTGGAGAAGAGCCAAGAGGGGCATTACGAGACAAAGGTATGTAGCAAGCGGTACAAGCAATATCTACTTTCTTACTAATATTATAAATGCGAATGTTTAGACGGTTGTTTGTTCTAAGGTATCTCCAGAACGGTTTAACTCAGTGAAATTTGGCAAAGCTATAAAAATATTCTATTTCTTTTTTTTTGTTAAATCCACGCGGCCACAGTCGCAGGCAAAAGTTAGTCCATCGTTAAAGAAAAAAAAAGTATGACAGGATTTGACTGTCGTGAAATTATTTTTGTCTCTATTTTTTTTAAAGAAAAGATCGGGATGACACTACTCTTGTTTACCGTTGTGCAGGTGAAGTGCGAGACAGAGGAGGAGGAGGATGCGGGCGCGCACGTGTTCTCGCGGCGCGGCCTGGGCTGCGGTCTGCTGCTCGACTGGCTGTCGGAGCTGCAGCGCGAGACCCTCGGCAGACAGGTATTCTGGTCTACAAGTTTATACCATCCCGAAATTTTACCAATTTCACAATACCCGCCAAAAGACAGTGTAACATTGAAGTGACAACTTTAGATATGTCACGTATTTTAAGCCGACATCAAAAAGAAAGAGGTTGCCAATTCATATTTTTTTAATCGAAAAGTAGTGCTGCAAGCAAGGTGGGTTTTTCTCATACTTTTTGACAAGTTTTGTCAATTTTACAAGCGATAGAATGTTATATTGGTAGCCCCCAGCTCTATGTACCTGTGATTGCAGATGAAACTGATGTTCGTAGCGGGAGGCGCCCCCTGGCGGCCATTGTTAGTCACACTGCTGGCACACCGCGCCTCCTGGAAGACTCTACACTCTTGTCTCACCACTTTGTTGGAACCACAAGGGTACATTCTCACACTAATAATACGAGACTTAGTTACTCTTATTCGCATACGACTCCGTCCGCGCAAAATTAAAAAAAAATTGAAACCCACATGTTCTTCCAGACTATGTTATATATGACAAATTTAAGCGAGATATATGCAGCCGTTTTAGAGATATGTTCAAACAAACATCCATCTATACATCCAAACATTCCCATTTATAATATTAGTAAGATTTGTCCATTATTGTATTTTAGTGGTTGGTCTGCAAGTGCAGTGCTGGACTTCGCTGCGACGTTGTCAGGCAGTCCGAGGGTGTGGCAGGGCCGCGACCGCGCCACTCCCAAACATTACGAGCCTGAGGATACGTTGCAGCTCACACACAAACAGGTATAAATATAAATTAACTAACTAATTAACTACTCTGATGATGTTAAATGGCGTGGGATATTATAATTCTGAGCGTCAGTAGTTTGGTGGTTAGGACCTTGACTTGTAATCTGCAGGGCCTGGGTTCAAATCCCGCCATGTGTTTTTCGATATTCGATTTATATATGTACATTTATCCGACGTTCTTACGGTGAAGGAAAACATCTTGATGCAACCTGCATATATCTGAGAAGTTCAAAAATATTTGAAGTCAACCCGCACTTGGCCAGCGTAGTTGACTATTGCCTAATCACTCCTAACTTAGGGTAGGCTCCGAGCCCCTCAGTGGGGACGTATAGTGAGCTGATGATATTATAATTCTAGCTGGAGGTACTTATCGGGTACGTGGGTGCGGAGGGTGCGGCTGCGGGCAGCGTGGAGGAGGCGCGGCGGAGGGCGGAGGCCCGCCTGCCCCTCGTGCTGCGCTGCTGCGGTACACCGCACGCCCTCCTCGCAGCAGCACTAGCCGCCGCGAGAGACCATCCCTTACTACTTCTACTGTTATACATGAAGGTATGGTCTGGTTACTCAGTACTAAGAAGTAACTCAATGACGTCATCACTGTGACGTTCAAACGCGATTTTTTTTTTGACATCTATCTATCCATATTAGAAATGTCTACAAATTGTAAAATGTTCTATCTAGGTGCCAAAGATAGTGCAGCTGATGCGGGAAAGTGAGGAGCGTGGTGGTGGTGGGGCGCTGCAGTCCCTTGAGGGTCTGGTGGGAGGGGCAGGGGGCGAGGCGGTGCGTGCTGCGCGCGCATCCACATGCGCTACAGACCGCGTGTCGCACGCGCTGCTCACCGCACTGGCCGCCTCACACCCACACTCAAAGGACCTCACACAGAGGTATGAAATTTTAATGGTACCAGCCAAAAGCGAAGTAACAAATAGTAGATAAACTAAAGTTATACGAATATGCATTTTAATTGATTGTCAACTTATAAAAATAATTACCAAAATCATCAAAATAAATATAGTTTTATACTACATCTTTCCTTCAAATAAATTAAATTTAAATATATATGTTTGTAGAGCTTGGCGTATAGAATCATTGGCGCGTGCGCTGTGGTCTCGCGTGCGGGGTGCGGGCACGCGCGCGTTGCCGCTGTGTGGGGCGCTGCTGCGGGGCGTGCGAGCTGAACACTCACGCAACCCCCCGCACGCTCACCTCCTCGCCGCGCTTGAAGTGCTTCCTGACTCGGATCTCTTCTCTGACCCAGCCAGGTAAAACTGACAATAATGCAGAATTTCCTCCTAGTCTACTAGACTTCATACAATTATTTACTATTAACCTTTTTATGTAGCGACGAATTGTACGAGATTCTGGAGTGTTTCCTGCACATAATGCGTCAGGGTGAAGCTGGTGCACTGTCGCTGCGGGTGGCCGCGCTGATGCGCCGCTTCGCCGCCGCTCGCCCGCAGCGCGCCGCCGCGCTCATGCAAGCGCACAAAGACACCGTTGCGTGAGTATATATAACATAGTACCATATACTAAAGAGAAAAAAGTATCCGGCTCGTAAGGACCAACTATTGTATTTAACTGTGTTTGCTTAGTTTTCTTACATAATTTTGTCATTTTATTATGCTTAAGGGGTTAAACAATATTGATATTAAATAGTCTAAAACCGCGATAAGCTGTAATGATGAATGTGTGACAGGATGATGCCAGCTCTAGTTGGTGCGTGCACGGGCGAGGTAGCTGCGCCTGCGTCTGCCGCGCCGCCCCCACAAGCCCTGCTGGCGCTGCAGCGACGCATCGAGCCACCGGATGAGCTGGCAGTGCACGTACAGGTACTTACAAACTGAGTACGTGAAATTGTGTGCATCGTGTACATCAAAATGGTTTCCTAATGTATATTTGTGTGTGCAGGAGATAGAGTCGTGGGGTGTGCGACGGGGCGGGGCGTGGGGTGGGCGGGGCACGGCGGAGACGCTGCTGCGGGCCACGGCGCCGCTGGCCGCTTCGCCGCATGCCCCGCTGCGGACCGCCGCGCTTTCGCTGCTCGCCAAGCTTCTGCCCGCCGCACCAGACTCTACACCTGGTCAGTACAACATTTTCATTATATAATTTATAATGACCTAGTCGGTACGGGATAGACGATATTAGATCTATTATAATTCTTTTCTTTCAGATTAAGAACCTAAAAACCTATATTTATCACTTTTTAACTAAAGAAATGAAGTATTTATTTTGGTTATTCGCAAATTTATACTCAGGCAACAACGGAAATTAAAAAAATAACTATGTTATATTTTTTTTAGGTCTCCAAGCAATCATGGAATGTCTAGACTCGAATCAGCCGGAGGTGGCGCAGTCTGCATTGGACAAGATGTCGGAGCTGATAGTGGGGGTGCAGGAGCACGCGGGTCGCATCTTGGCGCGCGTCTTCGAGCTCGGCATGCGCTCCCGTCTACCCGCCGAGCTGTGCATCGCGCGGTGCGTTGCCGCTATCAATCTACAGAGGGGTTGCTGAAAAAACCGATTGCCCGTGTAGACGCGGGCAATTTAATGCAAATGAACAATGTGAAAGTGTTGGTATCCTGCTCGAAGGACCACGATATTGTATGTAGAGATAGTGACATTTGTCAGTGAATTTTTTTAGTGTTGGTAGTTTATCAATAAACAGGATTTAGTGAACAAAAAGCAAAAAGTGTCGTATGTTTTATGTAAAAATAAATGTGACAATTGTGGATTGTCTAAGTGAAGAAAATAATTAATTTCATAAAATATTTGTGAAGTGTGGCGGAGATACCTCAATATTGTTATTGTAAATATATCAAACTAAAAACTTTTATTTTTAAATAAAGTGTAAGGTATATACTTTAGACTCAAGCTTTTGCGATGGCTAAGCCATTACAGTAACTTTTAAAATAAAATTTTCCTCCTTTACACAAGTTCCTGGATGTATTTCCAGTCAGCTGTAATAAAAAAAAAACAATGAATATTTGCAGATTTTTTTTTATTGTAAAACACTGGTATAAAATCTCAAGCTCGATATATGACAAATCACTTATCATAAAATATTTTCATTCTTGTTAAGTACTATAAAATACTAATAGTACATAGAAGTTAAAATGTAAGTAAAATTGACTAAATTGTAAAAATTTAAACGATTTTATTAAAATTAGTATTTTTTATAATGTTGTCTATATTAAAATAATTTAACAAATATAAGTTGCATATGATTTATTATTAACAAAAACAGAATCAGACATTCGAGTTCATATTTGTCAAAATACTAAAAAAAACAGTAAATGCATAAGACAAAAATTTTAGCAAATAAAATCTAGATTTTAATACGGAATCCTAAATGTAGTATTAAACTTACAGTTAATAATCTTTATAGAAATATTATCAAAAGAACAAATGTTTATATTTTATCAATGGCTAAAAACTATAATAAATAATACAGTAAGCATCCTCACACCAAGAAGTATAAAATATTGTCTATTGCACCATTCAGTACACATCTGTTACCCGTCACCAATCATTGCAGCCCAAGTCCGTGAACAATTTGTCCTTTATCTTTGGTTTTGGATCTTCCTTGATCTTCGTATCAACAGCTCCAACTTGACCCAGGATGAACTCCAATTCTATATCAAAAAGAAACTTTTAAATTATCTTACTAAAAAGGTAAAAAGGTCAAAACAATTTCTAGAAATGGAAGTGAACATTTGGTATTCCTTGTCTTTGCATTCAGCTATATTGTTTAAGGACTAGACAAGATTTTAAGGCTATAAAAATCGATTCAGACTTGTAGCAAAGTATTTTTTTGTTTAATTTCAAGGGTACCCAACTGTAAACTGAAGACAACTATTCCTAAAACATTAAAGTTTAGGGTTAGGCTGTTGAAAAAGGAGTATAGCAAAGTTATAATTACTACATACCATCACAAGTCAATGCGGTGCCTCTCAATTCAAGTGGTCCCACAAACTGCTTCTTCATATCCCCTTCAAAGTACACAAACACACTGGGTAGATTTCTCTCTGGGTAGTTGGGGATGCATGTCTGAGCCATTGCCTTCAAGAACTTGGTGTATGGGAATTTTGCGGCCAGTTCCCGCATATGCTGATTTAGAAGGGCACATTCTTGTATCCTGTAAATTATTTAGTTAGATAAGAATATGGTCTAAAGCATATTGATGTAGACACTTAAAAATAAAACAATCATATTTTATTAATAATAAACAACTTATAGGCTCTTGTGAGTATAATTCTTTTCAAATATCTTTGCGGCCCAAAGTCATGGGTGCATTGCACACTGCCCTTCTTCTAACTCAGACAAAATTAAAATCTACTTAGATATCTGAAAATTACTATACATAAACTGTGATCTAAAGATATACATCAATACATACCCTTGTTTATAAAGATGTATAACAACCCAGATGCCTTCACCAGCTTTGTTTACCTCTTGAACATAATCTTGGCCAGAGACCTCTCTGATATCACCAAATCTTGGCTTTTCTGCCAACCTCTTCATTTCCGCAATTCTCCGTCTGCGGTACTCCTGTAGTACAGCTTCATCCTCCTCATCTTCTAGCTCATCTAAACCATCTAAGTCTAACTCTGATAGTTGTTTCTCTTCTACAAAGAAATAATAAACACATTTAAATTTTTTTGTATTGACATTCAAGAAAGTTGATGCAATGATATGAAATTAATTTATAAACTAACATAACATTTGGGTGAATGTGTTAAGTACAGTTAAATAAGAAATTTTGCACTCTTTGCATTTGAGGTATGTTATGTAGGTCATATTGATCATTTTTACTAAATTTATTCTATTATGGTGCTAAAGTAAGTATGATTTCCATTGATTTATAAGCAATTTGATAATATAAACATAAATAAAAACCATTACTCTGTAAGAATATGAAGCATTTGCTCTAAAAGACACCAGTTGCACATAACCTAAAAGGTTTTGAAAGTGATTTGTTTAATGTGGCAATATACATACTTTCAGCTTGTTTATTTTGTATGGTCTCTTCGATCATGTTTACAATTTGTTCCTCGGAGATTTCTTTCTCCTTTGGAGGAATAATTCCCTTCGCTCGTAGGACATCGTTCCATTCTGTATCCTCATTAGGATTCTAAAAATAAATTAGTAGGTTAGACCGAATATCATACAGTTTCATCGGGACTTTCATAATATATAATTTACCTGCATTCTGTAAGTATTTTCTTATTGATTTATTTATCGAAGGAGTAACAAATATAATTATAGTCTTCTTTTATGGAAATTTGACACCTTTCGAATCTAAATTACGGACAAATGACAGTGACATTGACATTGTCTACAGAATATACATCTGCTTTAAAGATGTGTCAAAACTGTTTTTAATAAAACAATTTTCATTTTGGGTAAAAAATATAAGCAAATTAATGTTAAATTTTTCCATTCACAAATATTGGTTTCCCAAAAGGAATTTCAATCGATCCAACACCCAAAAACACATTAATAAACATGGACGTACTGATTAACTATTTGGTTTTAATTAAATATTGTTCAGAACATATTTTTCTGTTACTAAGCAAATAACTTTTGAGACTATATTTCTTTATTAAATGACTATTTACGAAATTAATTAACATTTTTTAAAGTCAACGTTTATTTGAATTTGACAATGACACGTCTTTTTAATTTTTCATTCTCTGTTGTCAACCTGCGTTGAGTTGGAAAAATTGCATGTCGCTATGTTCAGTCAAGTCAGAACTCGAAATAAATAAATTGGTCATGGCTGAAAACGAGGGACGTAAACATCGGGAATCGAATTTCCTTGACGGAGAAGGTAATTAAATGTTGAAATATTATTGCTAAGGGCGCGTGCGTCGAAAGTGCGTAGTGCGAACGACATCAGCATTGTCGTCCGTAAGTTACCCTCGTGTAGCTCTCGTGACATTGAAAATGGGTTCTTTTTATAATTGCTGCCTGGATCGTGGTGCTGGGGCTCGACTCGAGAGACAGAGTGTGCTAGCCGCCTGTCGCACTAAGTGATACTGTCAGCTCAATCGTCCGGGAAAATGACTGGTGGATCGGACAGCAATCTATCTTCAGGTACTGATTTTGTTTTGTTGTAATAATTGAGAAATATAACTCGGAAATGTTAAGCGCGATGTATCGGACAAACGCCAGTAATTTATATGACTTAACCTCTGCCACATATATTCATAAATTGTGATACGTTCGTCTAATTATTTTACAGAAGTGCTTGTTCATTGTGTCGTTTAAATAAAAGGTTTTTGCATCTTCGACAAGTTTAGTGATCGCTAAACGATTCTCATTGTGTTAGTTTATTGTTTGATTAGCTAATGTTTTTGACAGGTAACCTAAATATAAATAATGCAATATTTACGTAAAATTTTTTGTCAATATCAAAGCATATAAAATAAGATTTTATAAATACTTAACAACATGTCAAACAGAATATGTTATGTTTCCATTGTATGTTTTTTATATACAAGTGGATGATGTAAAGTTTGTTTTTTGTGGTGTCACAATTTATTTATCATTACAATTTATTTAATTTAGTGGATGATCCACAAGGCAGATCTTATTGGAATTATCTTGAAGTCTTCAATGAAAATAACAAAAACAATATACAACCTTAGTATCTTATCGTAATATATTTTGTATATCACATTTGTGCGATTTGAATTTTAACTAATTGTATTCAACTTAACCTTTTTTTTTGCCAAAAACCCATAAAGTTTTTGTAAGATGCTTTTTATTTACAAACATTTTTAAAAGCTAACTTAATTCTGAACAAACATGTCATAGTATGAAAGATGAGTCATTGTATATATTTTATAAATGATTGCTAATTCATAATAAGATATTCTTTTATTTTGTATATGTTACAAATGTATGCAAATAAATCTTTAACTTATAGCCAAATGTTCATAGAAAGTCCCTAAAAATTATGTAAAAGTAAACAATTGCTTAACAAAAGTGTTTATCCCACTCATACAAGAAATATAATTACATTTCCATATTATTTATTTATTTAAGCTTTGTACACAGTTTAAAGTACATAGTGTAACATTACATAGAAATACAATGATGTACAGGTGAGCTTAACTCTAAAAGAGTTCTCTTATTATCATATTAGTGTTGATTACAAAGAGGATTCTGCCATTAACGAGGAAATCCATTGTTTTACCATATATAATGTGATTCCGCCAGTTCTTTGATTGATGATAGCATTAAAGGTTTGCAACATTGAAATATAGCACATATTTTAAGCATCAAGCATTTCTGTTGTCCTGACGAACAGTGTAGTGTGGCATCTTTAGAGGAATTTCATAAAAGATAAGAAGAAAGAGAAGAAGAAGATAATAAAAAAATAATATGGCTAACTGTCCAGTATGTTTGTTGTCAGATGACATAATCCTGTGGTCATTAGCTCTTATATAAACAATAGAATTGTTAAAACTAAATTAATTATTGCAAAATTAACCTTTTGATAAATTCTTTATACTTTTATACATGACTAGTTGTTGCCCGCGACTCCGTCCGCGCGTAATTATAAAAAGGTCCTTTTAGCCTTTCAGGAGTTACATGATAAATATCCATCCATCAAAAACTTTTGCTTTTATAATATTAGTAAGATTCTTTACATTTACATACATCTACATTTGTAATGAGTGACGTATGAGTGAGTTGCATTGTGTATAAATCACGTTTTATCGTTGACCGTTTTCCCGCGCGTATTCAAATATTAACCGCCATATTTGTTGTAGCGGCACGGTCTGATAACCTAAATACCGTGTTAAATAGCCTCTATGGAAATTTTCTATTTGCTCTATGTCACGAATATCTTCACCATTCAATTTATGTAAATACTAGCTGCGTCCCGCCACTCCGTCCGCGCGAATTAAAAAAAAACTATTAGTTGCCTATGTGTTCTTTCAGACTATGTTCTATTTGTTAGCCATATTTCATTGAGATCTATTCAGCCGTTCTGGATATGAGGTATATTTTACTAACATCCATCCAACTATCCATCTAAACATTCGCATTTATAATATTAGTAAAATTAGTAAGATAGATTCAGTCTTAACAATTTTCCCTCTAATTTTCACAGACTATATGTTTTATTACAAGTATTTCGACAATGGAAACTCTCTGTAATAAATAACAGGTAAATTTACGTGTATGAATTAAAAAAATATCGAAGCTTATAAACGAGTATTCGGTCAAGGCAGGCAAGGCCTTCATAGTGTTGATCTACTTTCATTTGTCACATATCGATACAGAGATAACGATTTTCATTAGCACCGAGCTATAAGGTCGTTTTGATTTAAAAACAATTGAAATTCGCAATCGAATATCTGAATATTCTAATGGATTTCTGTTTGCTTTACTAAAATTAACTACAATAGTCTCCTTCACCCTATTACGAATTCCTAAGTTTTGACTATGGCCAAATCACCCTTAACTTAGGGTAGGGTCCGAGCCCCTTGGTGGGGACGTATAGTGAGCTGATGATGAAGTTAGCTTAGCTGATAGTTAATTACTCTGTCTAACGTGATTAAGCAGTAAAATCAATTTGGATACATTTAAAGGTAAACTTTCTTATGTGACGTAATTAATTTAAATCCATGTCAAACGTTTGCGGGTGCGAACTTTCGCCTATTATATTAATTTTATCTATAAATCTTTGGTATAAAATTTCCTATTCCTTAATTCCAACTTTGAATATGCAAGAAAAAAATAAAATCGTAATTATTCGCCATGTAGACAAAATTCGCAAAAACAATTGCGTCGGTGGCACAGCACTGAACCGCATTAGACCGAAATGTACGCGCCCAGGTTCGATCGTTGTACATTTATACGATATTATACGGTGAAGGAAAACATTGTGATGCAACCTGTATACATCGACGAAGACATTCCAAGATATGTGTGAAGTTAACCCGCACTGCGTAATTGACTATGGTCTGGTCACCCTATTTGGGTAGACTGCGAGCAGCGGGGTGTTTCAGTCTATGGCTACATGTCAAATTAATTTTAGTTTCATTAGTATATCTGCACGGGTTATGACAGTAAATATAATAAAGATAATGTCAAAAATAAAACTTATCTTGTTATAATTGAAACTACAGAAGCTTGTTCATGGATAAATAATATCAGCTGATTTATAGGACGTTAATACGTTGCATTTAATTTATCTATAGCTGATAAAAATATTATCTTACTCGTATTATAAATGCGAGTTTAGATGGATGGATGTTTGTTAGAATGTATCCAAAACTGCTGCATGAATCTCGCTGAAATTTGGCATAAATTTACGTCCCGGAGGCTTAATTTAGTCCTCTTTCCTTTCCCACCCTTTTTCTTAAGGAAAGGATGGGAAGTGGTAGTGGACTTTCCGGATGAGAGGATGCATGGGAAGGTAAGATATTTTCTTTCTGTGCATCCTCTCTTCCGTCGATTGAAGGTAGGCAACACATATGCAATTGCGTATGTCTATGGGCAACGGTACTTCGCTATTTCGCGAAACAGGTGGCTCGCTAATTTGCCACCTTATAATATATAATATAAAAAAAAATGTAGAACATCATCATGTCTTGAAGGATAGACACATAGTTTACTATAATAATTTATTTGATTTCGCGCGGAGGGAGTCGTAATCGACACGTCTAGTATGATGAAATGTTTAAGAATTAAAAAAATAAAACACAAGTGCGAAGCAGGTACAAATCTAGTTAGTGTCTTTATATCTGTTAAAAGTCACAACTCACATTGATCGTCGTGAGGTTATAAGCAGGTAACTTAATTAGCTCAAGTATTCGAGACCTTGTTCTTATTTTTTTTAATAAAAAAACTTGTTAAGGTGCATCCAGTCAGTAATTTTACATATCGTATGTTAGTCGGGGATAGTAGGTACCGTTATTTTATCGAAATTTTATAACATTGCTATTATTACGATATTGATATTCTCTCTGACCACTCAAGAACATTTACCGTGGGTTTCTGAGTACTAAATCCCCGTTTAAAACATATTGTTATCTCTGTTCTGTCAAAGATAATGATAAGGATAACGATAAATTTTATACAGAGATTATAGTCTCAGAAACCAACGGTAAAAAGCAGAATAACAGTAAAGATAACTTTACCGATTTTAAAAAATGTCTTAGTTAACATTTATGTAAGAGTTTACGCGTATATGAAGCACTAGCTGTCGCCCGCGACTCCGTCTACGCGTATTAAAAAAAACTTAATATCGTATGAATTCTTCCAGATTATGTTCAACACCTTTGTCATTTCAGTGAGATCCACGCAGCCGTTCTATACATCCAAACATTGACATTAGCACGTACTCCTCGTGACTTTTCTTAAAAGTCGGGCTTTAGTGCCTTATCTTGTAACCATTCGATACATCTCTTATCTCCAACTGACGATAAAGATAAATGCCTCTAAAAACGTATGAAAGAAATCTATTGCTACGTGTCACAATTTCCTCTCAAGATAAGTAAGTTATCAAATTATTTTCTTAGATTAAAAAGAAAGAAATGTTTTATTTACCACAAATATGTAAAATTGTTGTTAAAACTTTATTGACCAATTAAAAAAAATGCATACAAAAAACATAGCATGCAATTATTTGGCATGCAGTAAAATATATGTCTTTAACTATGCTAACCATAAAAACTTAATGTTTTCAATTACTTTTAAATTTTTTTTCAACCTTTTTATCTAACGCCGATATTAGATTAATAGAAATCATAATTATTGAATACATAGGCCTTTGAAATGTCTTATTAGAACCTTTTTGGTGAAACAAAT